AGATCTTTCTTTTTTAATATAAACATTTACAGTTATATATTACCCTTTAAGTGCTGCTTTAGCTGCATAACTTCTGGTATGTTGTGTCATTTCCATTAGTCCTAAAGAATGCTGTAATTAATTTCCCTCATGATTTTTTTTCTTTAATCAGTTGGTTAATAAGGGCTGTATTGTTTAATTTCCACTATTTTGTAAATTTCTCAAATTTTCTTCTGTTACTGATTTCTAATTTCATTTCATTGTGGTCAGAGAACAGACTCTGTATGATTTCAATTCTTTTAAAATATTAGAACCTGTTTAATGATCTAGCATATGGTTTATCCCAGGAAGCATGCACACCGTAGAGAAACGTGCTTTCTGCTCATGTCTGTTAGGTCAACTTGGCTTAAAGTGTTCAAGTCTATTTCTCTGTTGTTGATCTTCTCTCTAGTTGTGTTATTATTGCAAGTGAGGCACTGAAATTACTGATACTGTTGAATTATTTGTCCTTTCAAGTCTGTGTTTTCATTTGGGGTTCTGTTGTTAGGTGCATATATGTGCACAATTGTGTCTTCTTGATGCATCGACCCTTTTATTACTATGTAATGTCTTTGTCTCTAGTAATAATTTTTATCTTGAGGTCTACTTTGACATCATATCCTCTTTAGCTTTTCTGTAACTGTTTGTATGGTGTATCTTTTTTCATCCTTTTACTTTCAATCTTTTTGTTATTGAACCTAAAGTGTTTCTCCTGTAGGCAACATACAGTTGGACCATGACTTTTACTCATTCCATCATCTCTGCCTTTTAATTTATATTTAATCTGTTTACCTTTAATGCAATTATTAATGTGGGATTCAGTCTGCCATCTAGTTATTTGTTTTCTGTATGTCTTTTGTCTTTTTGTTTTTCTATTTCTCCAATTCTTCCATGTCTTCTTTGGTTAATATATATGTTATTGTACCATTTTAATTCAATTCATTTAATTCAACAATACCTTGTTGTAGCTTTTACTATATATTCTTTAGCCACTTCTTAGTGGTTTCCTTGAGGATTAAAATAACATTTTAATTTATAACAATCTAGTTTGGATTCATATCAACTTAAAGTCAATAGTGTAGAAAAATGTTGTTCCTATGTAAGTCTGTTCCTTCCCCATTGCACTGTTGTCATACACATTCTTTTTTCACTTTGTGCTCATCATCACAGACTTAGACTGTTTTATGTAATTGCTTGTTAAATTAGACAGGAGGAAGAGTTACAAAAAATGCATTTATATTGTCTTTTACATCTACAAGTGTTATTTCTTCATGTGGATTCAAGTTCTTGTTTATTGTCCTTACATTTCGGCCTGGAGGACTATGTTTATTATTTTCTGGAGGGCAGACTTCCTAATGACAAATTGTGTGTATCTGAGAAAGTCCTAATTTCTTCATTTTTGATGGTTTTGCTGGAAACAGAATTCTTATTTGTTAGTCATTCACTTTCAGCATTTTAAATGTGTCATCCCACTGCCTTCTATCCTCCATAGTTTCTGAGGAGGATCCCTTGTAAATGAGACATTTCTCTTGCTTTCAAGAGTCTCTGGACAGTGTGATTATGTGTCCAGGAGTAGATCTCTTTGAAATTATCCTGTTTGGGCTTCATTGAGCTTCTTGGGTACGTAAGTTCATGTTTTTCACCAAATTTCAAAGTCTTTGGCCATTATTTTTTCAAATATTCTTTTTGTCTCTTTCTTCCCTCCTCTTCTGGGACTCTAGTTATGCCTATATTGGTAGGCTTGATGGATCTTTGAGGCTCCATTTTGTTCCCCTTATTATTTTTATTTTTCATACTAGATCATCTCGACTAACTTGTATTCAAGTTTGCTGATTCTTCTGCTTGCTTAAATTTCCTGTTAAGTATATCTCATGAATTTTTCATAGCAGTCATTTTCAACTTCATAATTCATATTTGGTACTTTAGAAATAATTTCTATCTTTTTAACCAATATTTTCTATTTAGTGAGACATTTTTTATACTTTCCTTTAGTTCTTTAGATATAATTTTTCTTTAGTTCTTTGAACCTATTTAAAATAGCTGATTTAATGTCTTTGTCTAAAAGTCCAATGTCTGGACTTCCTCAGGCACAGTTTCTGTTGTTTCCCCCCCACCCCCCTCGCCCCATGTATGGGACAGTTTCTTGTTTCTTTGCATGTCTTGCAATGTTTTTTAATGGAAAACTGACATTTTAAAGAACAATGTGGTAACTCCATAAACCATATTTACTTATCTCCTTGCCAAGGGTTTGGTGTACTTGCTGTTTTTTATTTAGTGACTATTCTGAACTAATTCAGTAAAGTCTATATTCTTTATGGCATGAACGCTGAAGTCTCTCCAAGGGCAGTTTAGCCATCAGTCTAATGGTTGAACTGATATTTCCCTAAACACTAGTTTCCTAGTCTTTGCTGAGGGCCCTGTGTATGTTTTTGGGGCCCCCTTCAGCACTCAGTCAGAAAGGTGACATCCCAATCTTTAGCTTCACTTTCTGCTTGTGTGTCAAAGTCAACCTAAGGTGACAGCTTAGGATGTTCTTAAGTCTTTCCTGAGCAGGAGTATAACCCTTAGCATGTGTAAAACCCATGCATGTGTTGAGACCATCTAAATTCTCAGGACTATCACAGCTTTTCTAAGCCCCTATAGCCATCTCATTCCCTTGTTTTTACTTTTAAGTTGTTGGTTAGCTCGTTGTCTGCTTCAAGGGTTAACAACTTGAGGCAGTCATAAAGTTCATCAGTTGCCTCTGGGACTTTCTTGATTAATGTTCTTGGGGAAAAAGACTTTTCATACCTGGCAAGCTCCAATCTGGTAAAATAAAGACAGTCCTACAAATGAGGTCTTCCAGGACCTGCCAGACAAATCGGATAATGACAATTCTCTGGGAATGAAGCTTTAAAAGAGTTCTAACCCCATTCTGCCCCTTCCAGTGGCTTCCAGGCTGCTGTTTTTTTACCTTCATTGTAAACTATTGCTTTGCAAGAGTACAGCAAGAGATGGGAGGGAGAATGGAAATAGGGCAAGTTAAAACATCATAAAACTCACTGTTCATATTGAGATTTGGCCATTTCTATTGAGTAAATACTACTTAAATTGCTGCAGACATTGGTCATTTCCAGAGTTCTGAAAAAAGTTGATTCTGAAATTTTTTTTCCAGTTTTCTCCTCACTTTTATGGTGGGCAAAATTTTCAGAGGTCCTTGCTCCACCATTTTTGCTAGTTCTGATTTAAATATTTAAAGCTCCCCCCCCACTTCTTTCTTAGCAAAATGAATTTGGTTAAGCCAATGAAGCTATAACCACTGAAACTTCTGAGCATTCATAGCTCAAGCTCAATTATTCTATCAACCGCCGTAGTTGTGAGATACAACCAGACTGGATACAGTGTGTTTCTAGTCATACTCCAACCAAATGAATGCTGCCATATTTTTTCAGAAAGCAGAGTTGGAGGCTTTGATAATATTTTCATTGTATGTCTATTTTTAAAATCTTGGGTTATTATAAACTAAAAATCACTATAAGAAACAAAAAACCTGATATTCTTTAACACAGGTAGCAAGGATAATCCACTATGTGAGTGGAAAAAAGCCCAGTTATCCTTGCAAGCCTCTTAATTACATACAGAAATGATCTCCAAATGCTCCCCTTTTGCCTAGCCACCACACTGGGCTGCCAGTACTTTTCTGTCTCCAGAGTGCAAGGGGACCATACGGTCATGCTTCAAAGGCCATGAAGCAATCTCTTTTCCTGATCGAGGATAACAGTCATTCAGCTATGATCAATCCCTTTCCTAGAGACACCTGCATCACTTTCAGATCTATTAGGACACAGGGGAGGTACTTCCTGGGTAGGGACAGTGAGAGCTAAATGATTTTAGACAGACATGGAGCTATTTTCAAGGATTCAGACTTTTTAAAACCCCCCTCTGTTTGAAGAAAAAGCAAGATATTCACTGAGTTCCTGGAAAAATGTAGGAGAACCTCATTAGGGGCAAGCAGGAGTGAATGAAAACCACAAAAATAAAAGCATAATAAGATGGGCAGGGTTAAGTAAGGATACATTTAAACAGAGTGTGTTTACAAGTCTGTGAAATGAATTCACATCTCAATATTTAATTACATCAGGTTGTATTAGTGTTGGTCCAGTTAGAAATCCATGTTCATAAATCATCTGAATAAAAATGTTTTGATTTATGCTGAAGAAAATGCATTGCATTTAAGCACTTGATAATAAAGATTAAAATGTCTGATTTTTCATTCAGGAAAGAGAAACATAACTTTACTATTAATAATTGTAAAACCTGGCTTTGAAAATCCCCAGAGACTACAAAATAGGTTTATATTTTAGGAAAAACTATATGCAGAGCCTCCTAAGCAACTGGTGTTGAAATCTTTCCTAGACTGTAAACATTTTAATGCATAATGTTCAATGTAAAAGAGAAGTGAAATGCACATTAAACTAGTCAGCAAGCAAAAGCATGAAAGATTTTAGAGAGACATGTTGACCAAAAGATGCTTCATGTGCATCTCACTTTTCCAGAAAAGGAGGACTAAGTAACAAGAAGTTCACCACTCTTCTCTATCAGCCAGAGTGGATCTTCCACCAGCCAGGGCTCTTCTGTGTATTGATCGTTACAAATTTTTAAGAATGTGCTCAAAATATATATTAATTGAAGATGCAATGTAGAAAACTTCTACACCGTGTTATATTATTGAGGTTTCTGATGTGATAACCATTGGGTATATTAAAGAGCAGTGACAGGATAACTAACTGAAGTGGATCTCCTCTGCACAGGAGCTCACTGATGTAAGCTTACCTGAGTAGATGTTGCTTTCCAAGTAGCTTTTTTCGTATTACAATTATTGTGTAAAATCGTTTTCTACCTAGCATTACTGTTGCTTAAGAAAACAACATATATAGTAACTTTAAATCCACTTTTCTGCAAAGCTTTGGACACAATTCAAATACACAGTGTGTAGGCAAATCTCCAGTTGACATTTCTTTATGATATCAAAAGATTAAGAATGAAATCAGTGAATCCAGCACAAAATTTCCATACAGAAACCACATGATGAGTTCCATTTCTCATCAATTGCGTTCAGGTGCTGTGCCCAAGGATTAAGGCCGAAGACTGCCTAAAGGGTGTCTGCCCAGCCCACTGCTGCTGTTCCACACACTGTAGTTGACAATAGGTAGAGAGAGGATGCCTGGATTGTAAGCATCTTTGTAAACTTTCAAGCCAGGTAAAACAAATATATTACACACCTCATTTCAATGACAATCCTGAATATCAGACTAGCACATTTTATAGCTCTGCTCTAAGATATATGATTGTAGAGAATGAAATAGAAAGATGTAATGACATATTTACTGTCACTTAAATGATAGGGAGCAGTCACTTAGTTCAGGCCTAAGCACATTTGTGAAGTTTCATGCCACATTTTTCACCCGCCAACTTATATACATGTAGAGGTTATGTTAAAACTTCAATTATTCCAAAGGATTAAAGAAGTGTTACATTTTGATACAGATCTTCTGTTCCTATTATACTATAAGCCTTTGAAATGTTAAGGCTGAATAGACCAAGTTATGAAAAGGGACAGGGAGAAGTAAGAACAGGGCAGATACCGTGGGGACACATGGCAACTTTCTGCCTTTGCCACGCTACGTGGATGGTGTGCTTTCCAGGCAGCAGGCAGCAGGTGGTGTGACTGTAAAAAGATCACACGTTTGTCAGTAACTATGTAGGATTTTTGGCACTGTTAGAGCCGAGCCTTACAACGTCAGGGCAGCTAATAAAATCCCATCAACCCAATTTCTGATAAGTCTGAATTGCTTTGAAAATAATTTTTCTACCAGGCAAACCTTCTTGGTTCTCCTTTCAGCCCTGCCTTTTAGACAACTTGCATCATTAAAATAAAAAACATTTTAAAAAAAGAATCACTTCACAGCAACCAAACGAACATCTGGCAGCAAAGCAACATTAAAATGCCATCCTTTCAAAGGAAGAGCAAGTACGTGACTCCTCCTTGAAGAGCACTGTTTTCTGGCAGAGTGGAGCTTTGGAGACTTTCCGTTTATGGGCTTTTTTGCAAAAGTCCAAGTCTGAATTTGGACCTGCTTGTCCTGGGCTTTCTCACTGGTGTCTGCACAACAATATGTTAAGTATGTAAGAAACTAGGGTCGAAATGAAGATAATCTCATGCCCAGGTGAAAGGTGACCATGCACAGGCCGTACTTAGAGGCAACCTGATCCTAACTAGTAGCTGTAGTCACTGAAGCCTGTTGTTCACATGCGACAAAATATTTCAAAGTCAGTATAAACGGACTCATAAACCCATCTAACAAGAACACTGGACGTCTTATTTCAATGTGTGTTTTCTTCCACTTTCTCATTATACGGAAACTGTTTAAACTGAGAAAGAAAAGGATCAGAGCTTGCAGTGCCTCACATACTCCTCTAACTCTTCTCGTATAAAAAAATCTTATCAGGAAATAAAAAACTTTCAAAAGTGATTTTTCTGTCCAAACTTTTAAAAAATAAGAGTGCATTTCATTACAATCTACATTTGTTTTAAAATCTCTTACAAAAGTCTCTTAGTACGTTGCAAAACTTATCAACAAGGTTGTAACTTTCCAGAGGGTGTGTGCTCTGGGATCCTCGCGGAGCCTCCCCAGGAGGCTGGCTTTGCCGCCAACGCCGGCACCCCACCCTGCTGTTCAAGGCTACTGAGGGCACAGGGTTTGCTGCAACTCTTGACAAACCAACAAGTTTCCACGGGAGAAACCCTGCAGAATAAGCTCTTGGGGGGATAATTCTCTGGGGAAAGAAAGAGAGAAAAGTATCACTGGAGGTACGTGTGTCCAAAAGGAAATTTGGCTATACCATCCAATTATTGTTCTTCAGGGACTAGAAACGTGTTTCAATTCGGACTTGGGCAGGCTCATTTGTCTAAATAGTTTGTGTATAAGACACACTCACATAAAAAGGAAAAACACAGAAGACAAACATCCTTAATTTTGGGGAGGGTGTATTCCAACTTGGGGGAAGAGTGAAGGCATTGTAGCTCTGAAGCTCAATCACGGCATTTCCGGGGAGTTCTGCAGGCCCCCTTATTCAACAGGACAGGACGGAAGGGCCTGTTCTGGCCTGGCTGGACTCTACCACTCCTGCCGCACACCGTGTGTGACACGCAGGCGGCTGCAGTGTCAAGCTGGCAGCGTTCCTGAGGCTCTCGAGTGTTTATCAGCTCAGCAGGTCAAAAGTCTGCAGACACTGGGTGGAGCAGCAGTAAGCCACAAAACTAACAGCTGTCCTCCTGGAAAAGGAAAAAGGGAGAGAAGAACACCGAGTTCAAGATTAGTTTCTGGATCCTTTCCACTCAGACAGTCTTCTTTCTTTGTTAAAATGAAGGATTAGGCATGATCAACAAACTGCATAATAGAAATGTAAATTTCCTTTTAAAACTGAGCCCTGCAGTCAGGTGTTGCTCATTTTAATAGCAGCAGTCAGATGGCATACTATCCCTAAAGAAGTAGCTAAGGAAAAGTCAGCCTTTTCCATATGACGCTCTGAATTCTGCTTGCTAGAACCAACAGTATAATCATATAATTTGAGTATATTATAAAAATCATATAACACAAGTGTCAACAATTTAGCTAGAACACATATATCATATTGCTTAAACAACGTAATTTTAAGGAATTTATTGTCCAAATGTATTCACATAGATTGCTCATAGAGGTAATTTCAGAATCTGAATAAAACAGTTTGAGGGTCTTCCTACATAACTGAGGAATCTCTCCTCAAGTCCCATCTGGGCACCTTTGCGTCCAGAGTCAAGAGCCCAAAGATGGTCTCTGACCCACTCCGGACAGCTCTAGCTTTCAGATGCCTGTGTCTCCACCAGAAATGCCATTCTCTGGTAAGGGGAAAAGAATTGACTGCTGTCTTCACAAGACCCCCTGTGCTGACTGTTTTCTATTTCCCCAATCCTTAATCCAGCCTCTGCCTTTCTCTGTGGTCCAGGAAGGGGCTTCCACAAACTCTGTCTCAAAGCTGCCTCATATCTAGCTCCTGGTTAGGCCAGTGGGAGGCACCAGCAGGAGGTTGTAAGGCAGAAGAGGAAAGGCTGAGTATTTCTATCCATTCCCTATCTACCTCTGTGACCACAGGGCCTATGGGCAGTCCCTCCTTGATGGCTCTGGTTCTCCCCAGGTTCCAGGTCTCTTTGGCCCTTCAGGCCTCAGGATTAAGGACGGTCAGGGCTTCCCACTGTTTGAGTCCCCAGGTGCCTCGTCATCCTTCTAGGTGCTCTGAACCCTGCATAAACTTCAGTAAATAGTCCCTCTCCATTAATTTCTCTTCAATATCTCAGGTGAATGTGCATTTTGTTCTCTAGCCCTGACTAAATACAGTGTGTGTTATGAGTGGCCCAAGGAAACCGCCCATCAAAGTGAGATTCTGGGGTTGGGCTGATGAGTGCGTGAATGACCTCCTTACTAGGGAGAAATGGAACACTGCTAATCTGTGGCATGCTGTGGCATCACGATTACTCAATGTCACTTACACAGAATGCCACTGGAGGGTAAGGCACTGGGAGATCAAATAGCTGTGGCACTCGATTGCTGGAGCATCATGGTAAATTAAAGTTTGTGGAGTGCGGTGGCTTCTTCTGACTGTGCCTTGAAATCTCAACTCGAGGCATGGGTAGAGAGAACCAACAAGTTTCTGTGGTGGCCTTAAAGGAATCTCTATTCTATGAAGCTGTGAGGGACATGGCTGAGGTTGAACATAGAAGTTTCAGGATCACATTTTGTATAAAGGTATGTTTATGCCAAGTCTCTTACTAAGACAAAGGTGCCGGTTGGGAAGGAGTAGCAAGCTGAGCCTCAAGATGGGATCCCTTGGACAGGCACAAATCTAACCTTGACCCTCTCATATCGCTAAACATTTCTTTACATCAGAGACAGCTCTTTCCCTTTCTAAGAAAACTAGCATTCCTTTGCATTAACATGTTTCAATGGCATAATCTAGGGTGGCTACTTAAAATCTTTTCAGGACCTACTACCACCAACACCCATTGCCTCTAGGGCCACAAAAATAAAATCCTATTATGATCTAGAGGCCACTGCAGAGTCTGCTCCTGGGGGAAATAATGCACACATTGAAGGAGGTGCAGAATCTTGTCAAATTATATTAGCAGGAACCTGCAGAGCACAAACACAAGTGATTCTAAGTACATCAGTAAACATAGGTTGGGTCATGCCAACAAGGGTACTTCACCTAGGACTCAGAATATAATGTTACTCAAGCATCTGGGAAAGGTTACCAGAAGCCTTGACTCAGTGGAGGCCTACAGTTAATGAGACAGAGATGCTACAACTCCCCTTGTAGGCTCAAAGGTTTAGAGAAATGGGAACAATGAAGTAGACCCAACATGGTGCACCCTGCTCAGCTACCTTCTGAAATACTCCAGGCCCGAGAAGTCTTTCCCTTCCCTAAGGCATGAAGATACATATTTGCAAGAATACAAACTGGAAGTAGCAAGCACCCTTGATGCCTCAATAAAACACATGCTTATCAGAAGCAAGAGAGAAACCCAGGTGCCTCCTACGTCAGTGGAGCTTGAAATGGAAAAGAAGAGTTGTGTACAGAACTGCCCACTATGAAGAAATGATACACACTTGGTGGGTTCCTCTGGATTTTGGAGAAAAATATATTTGGGTGGGAACTTTGATTCTGCCAAAATGGCGTAGCCCCATCCCTCAGTCCGCCCTCTTACAAGCAATCCTCTGGTCATTACACAACAATCACACATAAGAGCATAGTGAAAGGCAGGGCAAAGGCAGACAACCTAGGGACCTTGAGACTTGAGGAACAACAGGCTGTGGTAAGTTCCCTGGGTTACCTTACTAGCTCCTATAGCTTAGATTTTATTGGCTTATTGCCTCATATATCTTAGACAGGATGCTGACGGAGCCCCAATAGGCACAAACAAAAAATCTCAAAGAAAAGCCCTTTCTCCTAAGCCAAAGTACTAGGACAGAGACATCTACAGAGACAGAAAGTAGAAAAGCAGTGGCTTAGAGGTGGGTATGCGGGGATAGAGGAGCAAGAGTTGAAGGTACAGGGTTTCTTTTAGGAGTGAGAAAATATTCTAAAATTGACTGTGGTGATGGCTGCACACTGGTGAATATACTAAAAAACACAGAATTGTATACTTCAAATGGGTGGAAGTATATAATATGTAAATTATCTCAATAAAGCTGTTAAAAATAATAGAGCTGAAAGGAGGAATAGAAGTTCACAATTAGAATTGGGGACTTCAATACCTTACTCTCGGCAACTGATAGAACTACTAGATAGGAAATCAGTAAAGGTTTAGAAGACTAAACACAACCAAAGGATCTAACATATATAAAACATATCACTCAACAGAATACACATTTTTTTTCCAAACGCCCACAGAACATTCACCAAGATAGATTATATCTGAAACCATTAGACAAACCTCAATAAGTTTCAAAGAACTGAAATCATATGCGATGTCTAGTTTCACCTCTGACATGTAAAGACCCAGAAAACTGTCACATCTGTCTTTACAATAAGTACAAGTTGAAAAATTGAAAACCAACAACTTTTCTCCAACTCATTCGCAAACTAAAGCTGCATAGCAAACTGCCACCTCAAAATCTGGAGACACAGGTGAATCCAGAAAGTCACAGCTGAGATCTGCTCACTTGGACAGTACTGATAGTGGTATAAGCTAGTAGGACTACTTAAATGAGAATGTTTACAAATTCTGAGACATAAAACCACACCTTTAAAAATTTTTTAAATGAGAAATCATACCAACCATGTTTTCAGAATACAATTAAATTAAAATATAAATTGAGCTGGGTGTGGTGGCTCATGCCAGCATTCTGGGAGGCTAAGGTGGGAAGACTGCTTGAGGCCAGGAGTTCAAGACCAGCCAGGGCAACACAGTGAGATCCTGTCTCTAAAAAATAAAATAAAAACAAAACAAAACAAATTAAACTAGAAACTAATAAATGAAAAACAGCTGAAAAATTCCTTAATATTTGGAAATTAAACTCATTCTAACTAATATGTGAGTCAAAGAAAAAACTGCAAGATAATTAAAAAATATTTTGAACTAAATGAAAATGAAATACAAGTCATTAAAGATTATAAGGTATGGCAAAAGCAGCACTTAAAGGGAAATTTATAGTACAAAACACATGTGTATTAAAAAGAAGGATCTAAAATCAATAACCCAAGCATCTACCTAGATTTTAGAGAATTAAGAGAGATTTAAGTTTAAGGCAAGTAAAAATTATAGAACATGTTCTCTGACCATAATATAATCTAACTAGGAATTAATAACAAAAGGACAACAGGAAAATCTCCATCATTTAGAAATGAAACAACATAGTTCTTTGATCCATGAATCACAACCACACTTGCATACATCAAAAAGGAAGTGTAAAACGAACTAGTAACATACTGGAACTGAATGAAGAAAAAATCAAAATAAAAAATGTTGGGACATAGCAAGGGTTGTCCAGAAAGAAATGTATAGAATGAAATGTTTATATTAGAAAAGAGGAAAAGTCTCACATCAATAATCTTCCTCCTCAAGAACCTAAGACAAGCAAAATAAACACAAAGCAAGCAGAACAGAAAAAATAAAAAAGAGAAACCAATCACATTTAAAAATCACTAGGATTAAGAATAACAATAAAATAAATCTTTAGCAAGACTGACAAAGGAAAAAAGAGAGAATACACAAATTAATATTAGAAATGAAATAGGTAATATCACCACAGATCCTACAGTCATTAAGAAGATATAAAGAAATACTATGAACAACTTTATGAATAGTCATGATAAAAATGCTCAGCAAACTCTGAAGAGATCCTCCTCAATTTGATAAAGAGATCATAGAAAACCTGTTAACAGTATACTTAGCAGCGAGTATATCAAAAGACTGTTTCCCTCTAAGACTGGGAACAAGACAAGGATGTCTACCCTCATACAACCATAGTCAAGACAGTACTGGAAGTTCTACCACTGCAATAAAGCAAGAAAATGAAATAAAAGGCATATAGATGGGAAAGGAAAAAATAAAACTATTCTTTTGCAGATAGTGTGATATGATTGTATATGTGCAAAATTTTGAAGCATCGATGAAAGATGCTACTAGAATAAGCAAGTCTGCAAGGCTCCAGCATTAAGATCAAAATACAAAATCCTCACATTTACATATACTAACAGTGAGTACATTGAAACTGAAATTTAAAAAAAAAACCCATC